TTGTCACACGAGGCTCTCGAACCAAACGAGGCTGCATTCTAATCCTACACCAGTGTGGTGAATCTATATTTAAGACCTGTCAGGGATACTTGATGCTTCGATCTCTGTGTGATTACTGCTAAAAGAAAAAGAAAAAATCCGGGTCACACAGCGACTCTTTGGGGATTTGGAATGTTGATTGGCAAAGGTGCTTTTTCTGAGGGTGGCTAGATTTGTCAAGCTTACTTGTACTGGGCAAGCGGGTGCTACGCGTAAGTATAGATTGGCTTATGAGAGAGGAGCGATGACAGGACGGTTTCCCTTATGTGAGAGGCTAGGGAACACAGACGACTCTAAGTCCACAATAACGAGGCATCGAGTGTATCTTCGCAGTGTTCAGGACAGATGCTGCCTTTATCTATCTCCAAAATATGCGCGATGATTGATGACAGCAGTGGTCAAGGCCAGTGTATGTAGGTAAGGTCCATATTAGTGACGAGTGAGAGGTGCCGCCCATCCAAGTATTGCGCTCGTTTGAGCTGGACAGCCGCAATGGACCTCTTGTAGTCGCAGGATTTGTCTAAGTTATCTTAGTACTGCTTGCTGTCCTTTTGGGCACAAACGCTGCTTCTAGCATCCTTCGGGGTTTTAGTGATTTCGCTCAGGCTTCAGCTGCTGCTGAGAGTATGTTCGAGATGTTTGACCGTAAGTCTGAAATTGGTCCCATGACCGATATGGACGAGCGGCCTGATGAGTGTGATGGCCTGCTTGAACGTTGATTTCACATCACTAGCGGATCCATCTACGTGAACGGCCATGGCATTTCTAAACCAGACTTCCGGTGATTGTGTGGGAGGAACGGTCTTGTTTAGGAAGAGCCAGTACTCCTCAGTCCTACAATAACGTAGTCCACGGACTATACGGAACTCCTATGAACAACCTCTCCGAGCCTGAAAAAGAGAGAGCTCATTAGGCAAGCCTGCATCCAGACGTTTCGAGATATGTCCTCGTATTCGGAAGAAATACAGTCATCTATAAGGGGAGCAGCCGTTACGCTGGACCCCATTTTATATTAACTGCGGATGAATGTCTCCGAGTGACGTAGATACTATGAAGCCAACAGGTAACTATTCGCGTTGACCGTTAAGGCTTACATGATGCCTGCGGGCTGCCGCGTCCCTGTGGGGTCTCATTTCGTATTTGGGGGCGTCTAACGTAGGTAGACGAATAGAATTTATTACTTCGAAGAAGGAATCTTTTAGAGCCGGTTGCTACGTTCAATTGTCTACGTGTCTCTCTTACTGTCGTTCCGACCGGCTTAGTCCTGAGGAAGATCAGGCTTGGCAGGTGGGACATGCAAGGGTAGAACCGAGCATACCGATTACGACAAAGGATCGATGATAAAATCAGTCAGACCTAGCTTCAGAGTACAGGTCCCACATGCTTCGTCTTAAGGCAAATATGTATTCTTGAATTCACACGTGTATTACAAGCGATGGTGCCCAACGGAGGCGGCAAGCATCCACGTCTGGTACGGCCTACGGACTCGGAGATCGGAAGTTTCCCAAGATCAATGCTCGGCACTTCGCTAGAAAGAGTCTAGTACATGCTTCAAGAAACTAAACACACAAAGATCCTTGCTTAAGCGGTGCGCCCCAAATCCTACCGGAGAGCCGACGAAGCTCTAAGTCCAATGTTCCCTAAACAATTCATTCTCGTTTAAGGGCCCAAGCAGCATTAGGCACCGAGGTCCAATCGTATTTGGCATACTCTGCCCATATACTTTTGCTCTGAGTTAATCATAAATCATTACTTTAGTCAACAAATCGAGTTTTTTGGGCATTGATCATAGTTCTACCACAGTATCTTACTTCTCTACGGGTTTCATCGTGTACTAATTGATGGTATAACAACCACGCCTTCATCTTATCTTTGGTCTCTATTATATGAGCTATAACCATGGCACTGATGCTCTATCCTCTTCCGTGCTTACTCAATTTAATGGGATGCCGCTCGCTTACTAGCAGAGGCGCAGCTTGTGGCCTGCTGGCCCGCTTACATCTAGCGCTTACAAGTAGTACCATTGTACCAAGCTTTGAAAAGAAACTAAAGCTTGGCTTAGAAGAACCTCTCTGTAGGACGTTACTCAATTTTCCGTAGGACACGGAGAAGCTTCAGAAGGCTCATTATAATACAAGTCTAAGATTATATAAAGGCTATTTTATCACTGTTTTATCACTCCTGACAACTCCATCTCAACCGTCTTCATAAGTCTCTTTTCCCATAACAACAACTTTGCCACTTTAACAAGAATTCTACTTCCTTTTTTACCCGCAATGAAGATCACTCTATTCGCTGTCACTCTCCTTGCTTCGCTGGCATCAGCCAGAGAGTTCGTTCTGTTTGATGATGCCAACTACAATGGAGCTTCTCATAGGGAGATACGTAATACTGATGGCGCCTGCTGTAAGTAGCGCCCACTACCAAACCCGCAAACTTGATGCTTAAGAACATCATAGGGAATCTCAACGGCAAAGGCGACCGAGAAAGTTCCGTTGGAGGTGATGGAGGATGCACTACCTTCTTCCGGTGAGAATCCTCTTCGTCATTCCACCTAGATGGCTTACCTGTTGACATAATATCAGAGAGCGTGACTGCAGGGGATCCAGCTGGCAGCAGCGCGGTTCTGCACCCACTGTTCCAGGCTTCCTTAATGATCACATCTGGTCATTCCGTAACCAATGCTAATTGGTCGTCACGTCAAGTCTGGAAACAGATCTGGTCTACTTACTCTTGGTGATTTCTTTACGAGGATCACCAAGCATCTGGCACACGAATACGAAAGAAACTCTGTTCATAAGAATGGAAGAGGGAAGGAAATGCATGTTTGAGTCATTTCATGTCCAGCTTCGCACAAATCCGTTGCGATTAGTGTCACCAACAAAGCCTGTTATCAGCTGCCTGTAACGCAAGAACCACGGCTTATAGTACCTTGCGTCCATCGGACTTTGAAGCAGCACTCATCATATGTCAATAAACAACTTTGAACCGGGAGGGATGCCTTGCAGCTTCAGCATTATAAGATTGTGATCTATTGATTCGTGAAAGTGTTTGTCTCTGAAGGTCGCTAAATTCATTGATCTCATTCATACATTGAAGATGACCTAATTGGGCGAGTACCTGCGCTCGTTGCCCTCCAAAGATTTCTTGCTTGGTATAATCTGTGGCCTGTCACTTGTGTAATTATGTCTGACGAGTGGACTTCTATGTACGAATCTATCTATTTGCGGGCAAAGCACAAGTCAGACGCAAATACTAAACACTTCTAGCCCCCCAAACTTCCAAGGGCTCTCAATGCGGAGAATGTAAACCCATTCACCCGGTTGCGATGTGCAATTTTAGAGGGATTGGTTGGAGATGTGTAACAAATGTGTAAAGCCCCTCATTTGTGGCTACTGTGACAAAGGACGTCTGCCTCGAGTCCTACTCTTTTTCTATGCGCTCTTGTAACCGCATATGGCGACATTCTCTCTCTCAATCCGGCCATCGAGATGCCAACCTGCGTCCACAGCCCCTGCATGCTATGTCGCGGCTAGAAGGATCTACGCCCTGCTGAGTAGAAAGAATAGCCCCTGCATACAAACGTTCCCCCATGCATTACAACCGCGATCAAGACACTTTACTGATGTCTAGAACGTTGCGGCGGCGCTTGTTGAGGGACAGATAGCTATACGCCTTCTAATTTCGTAAGCCTCCAGGGCGCTATAAGCATCTTGCAAGGCACGCAATTGAATCTAGGCGCTCGGAACATATGCACCTCTGAGGCGTCTCTAACCCCGTATATGTCAACGCAACGGCCATAAGCGGAATATGTGAAGGCGTGTCAATCTTCACCGCGGCACCCCGACCCTTGCTTCCCTCCCTGACCTGGCACGATACGTACGGGACGACTCTCAACGGACAACCCTCGGGCGTTCTGGGCCGATCGTGTATAGACATCCAATCAAGCTGAGGACAGCCGGTCTGGCTGAATTGCCTTCACCAATTGCCGGTGCGGCCCCGCTGATTTAAGCACGTCCTCATGTTATTCATCGGCGACGGCGCCCAAGTCGGCTCCGACTCTTTGGTTCCGCCACCAATTCCGAACAAATCGAACGTGAGTCGGGTAAAGTGGGGGATAACGCAAGCTGTTTCTAAAGTGCTGAGAAAGATCTAATCAGATTTGCAATTATAAATCCGTGCGGCAGCCACTGCCGGTAGTGCGATTGCGACACACTGTCAACTCGCACTTGACCCATAACGCAAGTCTCGTAATACGAGCCGAGCTCCGATTTCTTAGTAAAAGACAATTTGTTAAAGCCGAGGTGTCCTGCAACCGAAGCTTCACACTCAATTGTTGCAGCTGCCAAGAATCACATTTCTACCCCACGACTTCGGATATCTCAACTACTGCCCGACTAATCAAGATGCTGCAACCCTTGAAGAACGTTGTTGTCCTCGGAGGATCGTATGTCGGTCTTGCAAGTGTCCCATTGTACTTAGGCTGTTGCCTATAGAACAACTGCTAACAACTCGCCGCGCGTTAGGCCGCTGTGGGCGAGCTTGCCGCTGCTCTGCCAGCATCACACCGCGTGAGTGAACTTCCCGAAAAGCAACTTTGAAAAGAGTGACGACTGACTCGTAGCTGGCAGATTTTGCTGGTTGAACCGCACAGCCACTTTCATCATCTATTCGCATTTGTGAGTTGCCAGTATTGGCACTGCGTCGTTATGATTTATGACTAAACCGTGATTCAGCCTCGTTTCGCGGTCCTGCCAGACCATGAGCACAAAGCCTTCATTCCATACACGGCAGCTTTCTCAAAGTCATCCGACCCATCGCGGCACCAGGTGATTCAAGCCCGCGCCAAATCTCTCCGCCCCAACTCCGTCATTCTAGATAGAGAATGGCAAGGTTCAGGAGAAATTCCGTTCGAATATTTGGTTGTCACAACAGGCACCAGATTGCCAAGCCCAGGAACCATGCCCGGTGATGACAAGCCATCATCGGTCGACACCTTGAGAGCGCATCAGCAGGCGGTTCAGAAGGCGTCTTCTGTCATTCTCATCGGAGGCGGCGCGGTGGGCGTCCAGATGGCTACGGATCTTAAGGAAATTTACCCGGAGAAGGAGGTGATTCTTGTGCATTCACGAGAGCATCTCATGCCTCTTTACCACACCAAGTTGGATGAGATTATCAAGGCTCGATTCGAGGAGTTGGGAATCAAGTATGCTCATCAACGTGAAATCCTCGTCTCAACAGTTATTAACATTTTACTTTAGGTTGATCACCGGCTCCCGTGCTGTGATTCCTCCTGGCGGTCTTGCCTCCCAGACTTTAGTCAAGCTGCAAGATGGTCGTGAACTCTCAGCGGATCTTATCATCCCCGCAACGGGGCAAACACCTAACAACCAGTTCCTCCAGGATCTCAAGCAGACTGGCGACACCCTTCTTGTAAACCCTGCGAACGGCTTCATCGAAGTGCGACCAACACTGCAATTCCAAGACCCAGCATACCCGCACATGTTTGCTGCTGGTGATATTGCCGACTCTGGTGCGCACAAGGCTGCTCGGCCTGGCGCCGGACAAGCGAAGGTAGTCGCTCAGAACATTCTGGCTATGATCAACGGCCAAGAGCCGACAGAGCACATTGTAGTTACTCCGCCGGCAATTCATCTATCATTGGGACTGGTAAGGCCACACCCACGGGTAACTGTTGAAAAGAAGTCGTGCTGACCGAGACCTCCTCTTTCCCCCGACATAGAAAAAGAACTTTGTGTTCAGAAACCCCGATGTTGCAGCTGGACAGACTGAGCCAGCAGTCGTGCCGCGAGAAGAGTAAGTTACTATCGTTTCATGGCCAACTATTACCGTATACTGACTTTTATTTAGGGGAACAGCAGACATGAACATTGAGGGCGTGTGGGAGCGAAGAGGTGTCCGTGTCACCGACCCCGGAGAGTATCATCTGTAATAATAGAAACAGTGGAGGCCACTCACTGTTATAAGAACCTGCAGACAAAGACGGCGAGATATTCCGATGCACAACACACCGGTCATTAGATAGACCTAGAGGCCGATCAAGCAGTTGTCGCTAACCAGTATATGTCGACCAAAGAGGAAATACCAATCAAGTAAAAGAGAAATCGTCTTCTAGAGGTGTTTTCTAGCGAAGCCGGTAACACAGACAGGGGGGGGGTTTGTTTAACAGATCCACTGTTTCTAGAACGGTTCTGACAAATATCGGAATGACGCCCCAAGCCCAAACCCGGTCGATTTTCAGGCTAAGGCTGCTGGTTAGCATCGTAAATGCCCTCAAAATACCCGACTCTCCTATGCATTGCTAAGAATCTAATAAGCGGTAAATCAAACTAATTTGGGGTGACATAGCCTGTTATTTATATAAATCCTACCTTATTAAATCGTTACTATACATAGTCCCCTACATCCCCTATTACTTCTTACTAAATACTATTTTATAAAGAATTCTTTTATATATATAAATAACTAAAAAATATACCAAGACTTTTTTATTTTATTTTAAATAGTATTTTCTTTCTTTTCTAAGAGGTAACTAATAACATCTTTATATATAACTAGTAGGTTTTTATTTTTATATTTATAATTACCCTATGTAATTCTAGGTAATTAAGAGACTTTTAATAGGCTAGTATATTACGACTTTTTATTCTTAATACTATAGCGCTAATATTAAAAACTATAAAAAATATAAAGCTATCTAATATAATAATTATTAATATTATCTATAGTTTTAATTTTATTTCAATAATACTTCAAAAGATTAATAAAAGTATTTAAGTTAAAATAAGCTAGTTAAACTATAAATAAAATAGCTATAATTAACAAGTTCTTGATAAACTATATAAACTTTATTTTTTATACTAAACTATTTTTTCTCTTATTTTTAATCTTTTTTTGATAAGTTTTTATATATTTTATTATTATTTATTGTTATAATTTAATATAAGCTAAAATTAAGGTTTTGTATTATAAAACTTAAACATAACGGCTAGCTCATTATAATAAATATATTAATAAAGATCCAAACTATAATATTAAATAAAGAGTTTTATATTTATAAAAAAAAAACACTTTTTAAAACTATATTTAGAAGTTATAAAGAAATAAAGCTTAGGAAGTAACTATAGATTTTTTAAAAACGGTTCAAAAAAAGCTGAGAAAGAAATAAAATACAATATTAAGTTAATTATTTATTATAATAATAAAAGTTTATTTTTAAAATTAAACTTTAGTTTATTTTAATATTAACTTTAATTTAAAATATATTTTTAATTTATATATATTTTTAAAAGCTCCATATACAAAATATTAAAGCTTTATATTATCAAGATCCGGGGTTTATATTTTTAATATATAAACTTTTCTAATTTTTTATTATTATATATACTATTTTATAGCTTTTTTATCCTATTAAAATAGTATAAATATTATATTTATTTTTTAAATTTATATATAGTATATTATAGTTATTATTAGCTAATAGAGTGTTACGACTTAATATATATAACTAACTTAGAGGCTAGTCCGCCGGCCGCGGCGGCTATAGTATATTATATATATAAGTAAAATAGGAATATAGCTACTCTTTATAAAATAAAAGAACTATAAAATAAGTTACGTATTAATAAAATAAGGATTATTTTGGATTAGAATAATTTAATATAACTTAGGGGTTAAACGATTATTTTAAATTAAATTAATTAGGAACGATTTAAGGGATAAAGGATATATTTAAAAACGAGACTTATATATAAGATAGGCTCGAGCTAGGCTCGAGAATAGATTTTTATAACTTTTTTAATAATTAACTTAGTATTAAATTTTATAATTATTTTTAATTATTTTTATTAAGAACCCCTTTTAATAAAATTATAATTAATTACTAAAACCTTACTTATTTTATAACTTATAAATATAGTTTTAAAAAAGCTACTTATAATTATAATATTATTTATTTAGTTATTATAGCCTTAATTTTTATTAATATACTTATTATAACTAGCTAGTTATAATATTTTAATTATTCTTATTTAATAAGTTTATTTTATAAAAAACTAATTAAATAGTATAAATAATATTTTTTTATACTTTAGTTAAATTACTTATTCTAAGCTTTTTTATATATTTTAAATAGCCTATTTAAAGCTTAGTTAAAGAGATAAAAATAGCCCCTATAAATATCGATTTTAATAATAAGGTTATTTTTAAAAAAAAAACCTATAAATAACTTTAAAAAAAAGTTAAAAAGGGAAATATAAATATTATTAAAATATAAATTATATATAACGAAATTACGAATAAGTTTTAAAATTTTAAGATTATATTTTAGTAGTTTGGGAATAGTTTTTAGCGTATTTAGGCCTTAAAAAACGAAGTTATTTAACTTAAAAAATAAAAAGTAAGTATTAATATTTAAGCTTTTTAAAGAGAAGTTAATACCCTCCGAGCTATTATTAATATTATTAATACCCCCCTCTAAAAAGGATAATAAAAACTTAAGCTTAATATATTTATTACTTATAATAGTACCTCGGGTATTTTTAAAGGATTTCTAATTTAAATTAAAAATTATTAAAATTTTTATTATAAAGACTTTATTAGTAAAACTAAAAAAGTTATATACGTTATTAGCTTCCTTAGGGGACGAGCCCTTAAATAATTTAAATTAATTTAAAAAGAATATTTTAATAAGGAGATTTTTAATAAGTATTTTATTAAAATATACGATATTTATTATAGTTTTAATAGATTTAAAAAAGCTCTTAGGTCCCTATTCTAGGACTTTAATAAAAAATAATAAGCTAAATACGACTTAACATAGTTATAATAAACTAAATTAATAAAAGAATATTTTACTAAGTTTAAACGTTTTAATACTTAATTAGATCTTATTAATAATATTAAAATATTTATATTTTATTAAGGATTAAAAAACGAAATTAAAGACGAATTAGTTAAGCTTAATAAACTAAATAACTTCCTTTAGTATAGTAAACTTACTATTAAAATTAATAACTAATTTTACGAATATAAAAAAAAAAAAAATAACTTAATATAGGACGTAAGTATTAATAATAACCCTAGTGTAGTTTTTAAATAAACTAAAAAACTTATAATAATTAGAATAATAATTAATAAAGCACTATTTATAAATAATATAACGGTTTTATAAACCTTAGTATTATTAAAAAAAAAGATAACTACCTAAAAAAAAATTTAAGTATTATAATTATAATAAGCTAAAATATATAACTAGAGATTACTAATAATATTATAACTTAATATACATAACTAACCTAAAAGCTAACCCGCTGATCGTAGTGGCTATAGTATACTATATATATAAATAAAATAAGGATATAGCTACTCCTCGCAGAATAAAAAAACTATAAAATAAGTTACGTATTAATAAAATAAGGATTATTTTAAATTAAATTAATTTAATATAACTTAGGGGCTAAACGATTATTCTAAATTAAATTAATTAAAGATAACTTAAAAGATAAAAAATATATTTAAAAACGAGACTTATATATAGTATAGACTTAAGCCGGGCTTAAAAATAAACTTCTTATAGCTTTTTTAATAATTAATTTAATATTAGATCTTATAATTGTTTTTAATTATTTTTATTAAGAAGCCCTTTTAATAAAATTATAATTAATTACTAAAGCTTTACTTATTTTACGACTTATAAATATAATTTTAAAAAAGCTATTTATAACTATAATACTATTTACTTAATATTTATAGCTTTAATTTTTATTAATATACTTATTATAACTAGCTAGTTATAATATTTTAATTACTCCTATTTAATAAGTTTATTTTATAAAAACTAATTAAATAATATAAATATATTAACTATTAGTAATAATAATACTAGGTAGCTTATTAAGGTAGTTACGCCTATTATTTAATAATTATATAATATAATATTTAAATTTAAAAATAAAAACGAGTAGTTTTATACTTAGCTTATAGTACCCCGACCTCTTTTAATACCTAGAGCTAAGTACCCCGAACTAGAACCCTATAATAAGTCCCTAAATATATTCTAAAAATTTCTTATTTAAACTAGAGCTTATTTACGCTATTATAAAACCTTTTTTATTATTAAAGTAAATAAAGTTTATTATATAACCTCTTTTTTAAAAAAGGACGCCCTTATTTAGTTCAAACCCTTAATAAAAGACTATTTTAAAAATAACCGTTATATATAAAATAAAAATATTAAAATTTTTTTATAAATTATACTAAATTTAAAAAAAGAATTAAAAAAACTTTTAATAATCCTAACGAAGAACGAGTTACTAAATAAAAACTCGTGAACTTTAAATAAAAAAGGTTTATTAATAAGTACGCTTCGGAGTTTTAATAAATCGCCTCTAAATTTGATTAGGGTAACGAAGTACTTATAGTATTATTTTATTATAGCCTAAAAAAAAAAATTAAGAACGAATTTTTATATAAAAAACGATCCGATAAACTTTACGAATATATAAATATAATAATTAAAATTAATAACTAACTTTATAAATAATACTTTAAGTATAAGGGTTAGAACGTATAAAATAACTAACCTAAACTTAATACTAAAAAAAAATATCGACTTTTAATAACTGCTATTAATTATTATAACGGACCTATAAATCTTAGTATTGCTAAAAAAAAATAACCCTATTAAAAAAAAAACTTTAAATACTATAATTACGATAAGCTAGGATATATAACTAGAAATTATTAATAACCTAAGTATATTTAATATTAGCTTATTTTAAAAAAATGAATTAATATCGTAAATAAAAAAGTCCTTTACGAATAACTTTCTTAAATAACTTATTATAATAATAATTATTTTATTTACTAAAATAATAAAGAATAAACCGGTTAGTATCTAAAAAAACTTAAAAATAATAAATAAATAAGATA